TCTAAGGAGAGATCTGGGCTATAGTTGTATTTACTGCGGGGAGAGCAGGTCAGAGGAGCAGTCTGTTTATATGTACTTGATGTGTTTGCAAAATTTAAAAATAATTGTTTAAGGATGTTCACATTCACAATTTATAAAGATAACTGGGTTGGAAGGAAAAGTTGAGAACCACTGCTGTCAAATGTATTTACTTCTCTGTTAGAGGTATAAAATGTATTATCGAATTTTCATCTTAATTTTTTTTCTCATTTAGAAGATGATCTGGAATTTTATTAATGCAGTAAGGTTTTATGAATACATATTAGAGATACCAAAAATATAGAAAATTTCCGTGTATATTAGAAGGCCATCCCTTTTCAAGTTAGGGCAGTTGCTTTTTTAAGTTTGCTATTACCTTAAAGTCATATTTCTGTCTGCCTTCTACTAAGTATCTTTTGGATGTCCCACATACCCCAAACTTCTCATGTAAAAAAATGGAAGCAAACAATAAAGATAATCCTTTTTTTTTTTAAGATTTTATTTATCTATTTGAGAGAGAGAGAGAGTACGCGCACACATGAGCTGGAGGGGGGGCGGGCAGAAGCAAACTCCCTGCCGCTGAGCAGGGAGCCCGATGCAGGAACTTGATCCCAGGACCCTGGAATCATGACCTGAGCCGAAGGCAGACGCTTAACAGACTGAGCCACCCAGACACCCAAAGATAATCCTTCTTGAGTGGGCATTGGGAGGAGCAATCTCAGGTTGGAGGAGGATTTTGAAAACTGTTGCTTGACACTGCAAAGGCTTTTCTTGATGCCGTCCTTAATATATATATAGTGTGAGTGAGGGGTAAAGTTTAGGCCAAGCTAAAGGAAGATAACACTTTCAAATTCTTTTCTCTTCCACCAATAATTTAAAATTCAAAATAAATCTATAATAAATAAAGAAATAAAAATTAAAAAGGAAAATTATTTTGGAATATTGAATCCCTTAGGAAAGATGTAAATAAATTGATGAAACATTATCTCTTTACTATATCCCCATCGTTAGGACTTCAAATGTGAATAGCTTACGAGCTTACGGGTACTAAAAAAAAGGCAAAGAGAAGAATGTTAGGCTGGAAGATAATTGTATTTAAACAATCCTGTAATCCTATAATTTGAAATTCAGAAGATTTTGTTTCATTTAGAAAGCAAAGACTGTTTTGATTAGTACGGAGCCTGTTTAAGATTCTCTCTCTCCCTCTCTTAAAAAAGTGGGGGGGGGGGCTCTGTTTTCTTTTGTATGGTAAACTAAATTAGCCACTAACAGAGTTGGAGAAGAAAGATGGATGAAGATAACTTCTAGCACTAATAAGAATTGATCAGTTAGATTATATGGATAGAAGTCATATAGAGCATGTCAAGGCATTGCTCAGACTTTAACTCAACCAAATGGTTCATCTCTGATGTGAAATAAATTTTGCTCTTAATTTTAGGGGGTACATTTTAAACAGCACTAGATAAACTTATTATATAAGCAAAGCATTTCTCCTCTGCACTCTTCTTCAGCCTACACAGAGAGAGGCTCCATTCCAAACCAGCTAAATCTGAGGAGTCAAGGGGTAGTGATACCTAGGCAAGAGGAGAGAGAAAAGCATCTCTGGCTGATTTTGTCGACCTTTGGCAAAAGTCATAGATCTAGATATAGCCTCCACAGTGATCTAATTAGTTTCCCTCAGGGTAGTAGTTCCCTAAAATTTTTAAGGTACATTTTATTTTTTATTTTTTTTAAAAGATTATTTGACAGAGAGAGAGTGCATAAGCACAACAGGGGGAGTGGCAGGCAGAGGGAGAAGCAGGCTCCCCGCAGAGCAGGGAGCCCGATGGTAGGACTTGATCCCAGGACCCTGGGATCATAACCTGAGCCGAAGGCAGACGCTTAACGACTGAGCCACCGAGGCACCCCTTAGGGTACATTTTAAATGGCATTTATATAACAGTTATCCAAGGAAGCTAGTTAAAATGAAGAATCCTGAAGTCTGAGATACGGCAAAAGAATTTAGTATTTTGGGGGCGCCTGGGTGGCTCAGTTGGTTAAGCGGCTGCCTTCGGCTTGGGTCATGATCCCAGGATCCTGGGATCGAGCCCCGCATCGGGCCCTGCTCAGCGGAGAGTCTGCTTCTCCCTCTCCCACTCCCCCTGCTTCTGTTCCCTCTCTTGCTGTGTCTCTCTCTGTCAAATAAATAAATAAAATCTTGAAAAAAAAAAAAAAGAATTTAGTATTTTGATAAACATTCCAAGCAGGTGATCTGAGGAGAACACTTTGAAAATGTGCTGGGTATTGCCTTCAGAAAGTTATTTGATAAAATCATCAATCAGGTGACCAAGTTAGTCTGATTTCACAGATCTCTAAAAGCTGCTAACAAAAATGATCTCTTCACCACCTTAAATAATCCCTGTAATTCCATATTTAGATTTCCAAGACTTTTTGGCTAAAAAGCAACAATTTAAGCAGATTTTGGAAGCATTGATTGACAGAGATGATAAGCAGTTTTTTGATAATCCTACATATTAGGTACTTCTAGATTATCCTACATCTTACGCCAAGATTACAAAATTGTATGTATCTCTCTTTAACCAGTCTCTCAACTGTGTTTTGACTCTCTGCTAGCTTTGTATAACTTTCTAAAATTCACTTTTGATTTTACCTGGCAGAGTTTTCAAGATTTTTATCAAAACTCTGTTTTCACATCAAGAAAAAGGCTTGTTAGGGCACTCTATAGTTGGAATGCAGCAGAACACGGTCTAAATGAATGAGTTCTCTTAACCATATTTAACCCAAGAGTGAATACTATGTGATTCTATTTGTATGAAGTAAAATACCAGGGAAGGTAATCTATGCTTCCAGGAATCAGGATGATGTTTACCCTGGAGGACGTAGGGTAGTTAGTGACTGAAAGGGGCATGAGGGGCAGGGCTCCTGGGGTGCTGGTCATAGTCTGGTTCTTGATTTGGGTGCTGTATGTTTCATTTGTGAAAATTCATTGAGCCATACACTTACGATTTTGTGTATTATTGAACTTATGGAGTATATCCATGAAAAGCTACCCCCCAAAAAGACTAGTATGTAAATTCTGCATTTTTAACTGGATCATTTGATTGCTTTACCTCATTGTTGTTATTGTATATATTGGGACTTAGATTTCCTCATTTCCTCTTTACAGTAGTAATATACTTTTCTGAAATTATAAAAGTATTTAATGACACCCTCAAGCATAATTTCTGAAAGACGCTGCTGCTTTCATGAGAATTCTTGGTTATGCCTTATTATGAAGAGATAGATATATATACATATATATATCTTTATCACTTAGAAAGTATTTTATCAAATTTCATGTCTATCATCGATTGAGAATAGTCAATTTTGTGTTTTAGGAGCTGCAAAAAGATCCTGTCTTCTCATAAAACAGTTTTTGAGGTAGACCAGTATTATCTTTATGATAGGTGGCCTCAGTTTTGGCAAGGGTAAAAGGCTTCTTAGTTAAGGAAAGACAAGTAACAATTGGATAGAAAAGGACTCTGAATTAGAAGATTCTTAGGATGTCAATCAGTTGCTTGGCTCATTGAGCTGCAGTTTAACCTATATGGAGCAGAAATACTCACTGCGTACAGGTGTTGGATTTCATTAGACAAAAAATGGACTACTTAAGAGGTTTTGGAAATGGCCACATGCCACTTAACCAGATGGGATGAAAATTACAGATGGAGAAGTTCAAAAGAATATTAATACTAATTCCTTTATAACTTCTTAGAATTAAGATGACTTTGTTACATCTTATGGAGGTATACTGGAGGAAAGAATATAGGCAATAACTTAGCTTTCAAGAAGATTCATGTGAGGGGCGCCTGGGTGGCTCAGTTGGTTAAGTGACTGCCTTCGGCTCAGGTCATGATCCTGGAGTCCCGGGATCGAGTCCCGCATCGGGCTCCCTGCTCAGCGTGGAGTCTGCTTCTCCCTCTGACCCTCCCCCCTCTCATGCTCTCTCTGTCTCATTCTCTCTCTCAAATAAATAAATAAAAAATCTTTAAAAAAAAAAAAAAGAAGATTCATGTGAATCTTACCTACCTTTAATGCTGTAAGTCTAACATTTTTTGATATGCAAAAATACACTGTTAGCAAAAATTATAACTAGTACCACTAGTTAAATTTCAAAGCCTACAAATAGAACACAACAGGAATTTATTATCAATTTGATTTAGGGGTGCCTGGGTGGCTCAGTTGTTAGGCATCTGCCTTCAGCTCGGGTCATGATCCCAGGGTCCTGGGATCGAGCCCCGCATTGGGCTCCTGCTTGGCGGGAAGCTTGCTTCTCCCTCTCCCACTCCCCCTGCTTGTGTTCCCTCTCTCGCTGTGTCTCTCTCTGTCAAATAAATAAATCTTTAAAAAAAAATTAATTTGATTTAGATAATTTTAGCAGTTTGGGGTGTGATTGTTTATGAATCTAAACACATCCCTTTGAAAGAAACACTGAGAGAAGTCGAAGACACAGTTACATTGACCGTGTATTCAGGAAGGGATGACAGCACCTGGGAAACAGACACTCTTCTATGAAGGGGACAGATGTGGTGAGGTTTAGTCTGCCTTTCCGGGTGGTTGTGGTTTAGAAATTACATACCTTATTGCAGAGTCATTGTTTTCACCGGTCAGGAATGGAGGGTGAAGGGGTCTCAGTTACATTCCCTCCTGCTTCTCTCAAGCCTTTGAGGCCCCTGAGCATGTCAGGTTTGTTAGTAGCTAACAGTGCAATGCTCTGCGTACTCTTGTATGGTTTTGTTTGTTTTTTACTCTTGTACATGTTTGCAGTTAACAGAGATGAACTTAATTGAAGAAAACAGAAGCCTGAGAAAATACTGCTGTTACTTAACTAAACCTCCCTGCTTTCAACTCATAATTGCTTTACACTAATGAAAAATTGTAACATTTTAATGTTTACGCTAAATATTTTGTTATTTTATCATTACTCTTATTTTGATTTTTACCTTTTTTATCTTTTAGATCCATGTGAAAGCTCATTTTGATTATGACCCCTCAGATGACCCTTATGTTCCATGTCGAGAATTAGGTCTGTCTTTCCAAAAAGGGGATATACTTCATGTCATCAGTCAAGAAGATCCAAATTGGTGGCAAGCCTACAGGGAAGGGGATGAAGATAATCAACCTCTAGCTGGGCTCATTCCAGGTAAAAGACAATACAGTAGAACATATTTAAAAGAACATTTAAAATACAAGCCTTCACAGAGAAAAACTCACTTTTTCATGCAGTTGGGTCTTTATGTGTATTAATAAGGTCACAGAAAGCTACACATCCTCTGTTTTAAGATCCAAAAGCTAAAAACAAGTTTTTTCTATACTCAGTCATATTTCAGAGAATGAGGAATGGGCTTCTTTTATTAACTTTAGAGGATGATGCTATACCCCTGATTCTTCGCAGTAACAGACATGGGACATTCCTCTAAAATCCCTGGAGTACTGAGTAGCCATCATGTTCTGCTTAGTGCTTGTGCCAGATATCAATCTGATATCTTCTCATCATGCCAGCCTTAGCCCATAAATATTTAGAACTAGAGTATATTGAGTGATTACATTGAGTTTCTGAAAGATGCATCAAGGGGATTTGGGTGATATCATTTGTAAGTCTTTTTATAGGACAAATAAAGTGTTAGAATTAGAAGATTAAAGAGGTCATATTGTCCACCTCACATTAATGTCTGCTGCCATTACAACAGTCTACATACGTATGTACTATAAAAATGTGCCATAGAAGTACATGACTTAATGTTTTTAAACATTTTAAAGTGTAACTGATCAAAATTTTGTTCCCTATTTTTTTCTGAATCTGTCAAAATCAGATACTTATTTAAAGAAAAATTTTTTTTACTTATTTTTAAATTTTAATGCTCTTAAAATTTCCCCTGTCTTCATAGTTACTTGTTTTTACTAGGAATGCAATCTGTATAGCTCCTAAAGATAACCTGGTTATCTTTAATACTTCTTATGTATACCAAACTCAGTATTAATGTTTTTGCTTGTGTTCTTATGAAATGCACTAAATTCTACAGATTATCCCAACATAGATGGAATTTGCTTATTGATTTCAAGAAATCCTTGGCTTGAAACAAAAAGAAGATACAAAAATTTTAAAAGTAGAACTCTAATCCAAATTTTCTAAGTAAAACCACTTTTATCCTCCAGAAAAAATACATTTGATTTTAAGGTAGATATCTGAAAAGAAGATGAAAATCAAAAACCTTGAGAGCCTCCTATATTAAGATCTTAATTCTGACAGGAAAAACATTGTATGTTTTTCATATATCTATATCACTGGTACCTTAAAGGTGGAAATAAAAAAAAATCATTAAAACATACACGTACATATGAAGAAAAAGGGATTGAGAATAATAAATGCAAGGGAATATATTGAGTGGTATCTTAAAATCAAAAAGTGATGAATGTTCACATATTTTGTAAAGTTAACTCCTGGAATTAATTTGTTTGATTTGAGATAATTCTAAATGATCCAGAACCAGGATCCAGCATAGTACTTTCCACTTAGTAAGTGCACAGTGAAAGCTTTGTAAAAATTGAACTATTAATTTTTCTAACACTGGTTTATTACTTATCTTTTCTAATAGATGATATGTCTATATTCTAGTAATACATGTCCTAGGATTGGTTGCTAGTGAGGTTGAAACTTAATACTTTAAACATTTGGAGGCTTATAGTCATAGCTGACATACTCTCAGATGGTGGCAGAAAGATTTAAAAGGAAATATAAATGAAAAGTTACTTCTGTTTTTTTCCCCTTGATTAAAAAACAAACTTACATTCTTTTGTCTTAAATTTTACTGTCTTTTCTTCCTGCTATTAAGGGAAAAGCTTTCAGCAGCAAAGGGAAGCCATGAAGCAAACCATAGAAGAAGACAAGGAGCCAGAAAAATCAGGTTGGACACTTAATATTTGACATTAATGAAAGGTTTCTTGGGTCTCCATCTGGAACTATGTTTAAATTTACATACCAGGAGGCGCCTGGGTGGATCAATCGGTTAGGCAGCCAACTCTTGATTTCAACTCAGGTCATGATCTCAGGGTCCTGGGATCGAGCCCCACATTGGGCTCCTCACTCACTGGGGAGTCTGCTTGAGGATTCCCTCTCTCCTTCTGCCCCTCCCCCTGCTCGTGCTAGTTCACTTCTTCTGTCTCTCTCTCAAATAAATCTTTTTTAAAAATTTACATATCAGAACTGTCAAAAAAGATGTATTCATGGTAAGAGTGATATGAGAGGCAATACTAATTATCTTAGAACTCTAAAGAAAGGACAAGATATAAGAATTAAAGATCATCTACAATGTGAGACTAATGGAAAATTATAACTATTTCACTGAAAAATAGTTCTATACAACAATATGTGTTTATAAATTTAAATGGAAAACTGAGTTCTTCAATTTGAAATACGTAGCTTTGTTCAGGGAAACAAGTATCACGTTTACAGTTATGCTTTTAATTGTTCAACAGGAAAACTGTGGTGTGCAAAGAAGAATAAAAAGAAGAGGAAAAAGGTTTTATATAATGCCAATAAAAATGATGGTGAGTTCGGGCACCAGGATGGCTCAGTCAGTTGGGTGTCCAGCTCTTGATTTCCACTCAAGTCATGATCTCAGGGTTGTGAGATCGAGCCCTGAGTTGGCCTCCGCACTGGGTGTGGAGCCTGCTTAAGATTCTCTCTCTCCCTCTCCCTCTGCCCCTCTCCCCCCACTCCTGCTCTTCCCCCGCCCAAAAAAATGATGGTGAGTTCTACTCTTAGATATAGCTGGATTTATATCTGAAAGAGGTCCGTATCTAACACTTGAAAGAAATTAAACTGCTGTTTTCAGGGAGTTATATTTCTAGTCCTGTTTTGCTTCTTAATGTAACATATGCTTAAGAAATTCATTTCGCAGAAAGTATTTTCTTTTGGAATCCTATGAGTAGTGCAGCATTTTGAACTTTGAGAAAAACTGGCATAAAAATTAAAGTACAGTGTGGCATTATATAGTGTTATATTGATAGTTTTCTGTTTTTCCTACTTAAATTCTTTGTGAAATTAATACATACCTCTAACAAAATCTACAATATGGTTGTATTTTAGTAAATTGAGTATTTTGTCTACCATAACTCATGTCACTGAGGCAACCCATTCCACAGAACCTGCTACCTGCTGGCTGAGTCAGGCACATACAGTTTTTTGTTTTATAAGTGTAGCGTCTCTTCTTATCAAAGACTCTAATAACACAGGGCTTGTATTCCCAAGTGACAGCAGTCTGCTGGACCTGAGTGATGGCTGTTGTCTCTCTGTTAGAGAGACACACTATCTTAGTTCAACAGTTTCCACCACATCCAGTTATTATAAACTCAACCTGATTTTACTGCTTTTCCTTACCTTCTTGGTTGGTCCTTGTGTGCATTAGAATTTGCTACCCCTGCTTTGGTTCTTGTCAGAAAGAAGCCAAATAAAGCAAAGGCACTCCTAACAATTTATAAGGCTTATTCTCTCAATACCTCCAGATATTTTTTTTAGGCAGCATAAATTAAACATGAAAATAAAATGTTACAGATTATTGAAAAATCCCATTTAAAACTAAATCTGAGATTTAGTCTACCTTTTTTCCAAAATAAACATCCTTAATGCTAATCGAAACATTGTATAGCTAAGATTTATTGAACTTTTAATCCTTCCCTCTGTGTTTGGTAAGTGATTAATATCTGTTTCTTCATTCTTTGAAACACACTAAATTGGCTCTGCCCTAATAGCTATTATGCCACAGAAAACCTGCAGATCTGAAGCTTCAGATGTGTAACTGAGTCTTTGTAAATAAAAATGCTGCCACAATCTGACTGGACATGTTACAAGAAAGAACTCTGATTTTTCAGAGGGCACAGCATTTTGGGAAGGGCAGGAATTACATTGCCATTCATAATGGTGTCATCATAATGAATATTTTTACTAATAATAACTATCATTTATAATAACCATCCTCTTCCAGGGGTAGTAACTATATGCTTTAGATACCCTCATCTTGGGTCTCACAGTAAATTCCTTGAGATTATAGATTAATAAAGAGAAGTTCAGATATTAAAGATCTGCTTAAATTCTTAAAGCTAATATAGAGCTAGAATTTAGACAAATACAGTTTGAGTTCCTCCTCTGCACTCTGTGCTAAGCACTGGCAAGACTAAGATGATTGCCTGCCCCCATGGAACTTACAGCTGAGTGTGACTATACATCTGATGCTCTTTCCTGGTCAGGGGAAGTAATATGAGTGGGAAGATGGCAGGCTGCTCGTTGTCTGCCTTTGTTTCTTACCACTTGGCAGCTCTGATTTCATCTGGATTATGGGCTTTAGGAATGTTATCCCACCTGTCACAATTTATACCTCTTCTTGAATCATGACCTCAGGTTAGTATTCCAAGTTTGGATAGCACAAACTGATTGCAAGTTCTGTAATCAGAACTACTTTCTCTGATAACTCTAGTTTGTAGCTACTATTTTAAATATTTGTCTATGCCAGGAATTGTGCTTAGCATATATATTGTGTCTGATCCTTAAACCAACCCTCTAAGTGTAGTATTAGTATCCCCGTTTTACAAAAATGACAGACCGTATTCTCATTAGTTCATCCCCTGGTGCCCCACCCTCTGTCAAAGTATGGGCTGCCAACTAGCTATTTTACAGTACAAGCAGTACAAGTAGTTTTATTGTATTAAAACATTCAAACTACGAAAAAAGAGAAGCAATAAACGCTTCTAGAAGGATTAATATATTGTCTGATTTATGTTCATAGTATTGGGAAGTATATATTGATACTGGAAAACATTCATATAATCCTACCCAGTTATTACTTATCTTGATTCAAAAAGTTAAGCGTTTTTATTAATAAATTGTGCTTCTTTCCAATTGTTTTGGAAGGTCTGTATCTTTATAACATGGCAATCATTCTGTCTGAAGGGCTTAACTTTTTCTTTTTCAAAGATTATGACAATGAAGAAATCTTAACTTATGAGGAAATGTCACTTTATCATCAGCCAGCAAATAGGAAAAGACCTATCATTTTGATTGGTCCACAGAACTGTGGCCAGAATGAATTGCGTCAGAGGCTCATGAACAAAGAAAAAGACCGTTTTGCATCTGCAGTTCCTTGTAAGTTTGGATGCATTCTCATTTTCCTGTGCTTTTCAGTTGACCACCTTAGAACCTAACTGGAGGGAAATTTTTCATCCAGTTCATTGAAACAGTTTTGCCCAGGAAAGAGGAACTTTGTTTTAATAAAATCTTTTGAGAATTTGTAATTCAAGATAGTCATTATTGAGAAACTTCAGTTTTTCCTATGGTACTAATTATTTTCTAAATGAATTTCAATTTGGGCTTCTTGCAATTCCCTGTTCAATATGGAATCAGCTCCTGGTTTTTTAAACTGGTGCAGAAGACAAAAATTTAGACCTAATCTCTGAACACAGAAGTTCTGTTTAGATTATATAATATCTGGGGGGTGGGGAGGGTTAAAAAAAAAAAATCTTAGTGGAAATAAACTTTAGGAAAAGATGAGTGGCAGTGTTTTAAATGTCAGAAGTAATTTAAAGTGTAAGCATAAAATGTGTTAAGGCAATTAAATATAACTATTATTAAGATACTAAAACCACATTTTTGTTCATTTCTCAGTCTAGAAATAAAATGAATCAGTGTTAAATACATGGGCTCTTAAGATTTCCTCAGTTCATCTTTTTACATTTCATCTGTATTACAAAATTGAAGTTTTCCCTGACTAGCAGAATTATCCCCCAACCTTCCTCTGATCCATGCCCATTATTTTTACCTGATTTTGTTTGCCTAGATACAACTCGGAGTCGGCGAGACCACGAAGTAGCTGGTAGAGATTACCACTTTGTATCACGGCAAGCATTTGAGGCAGACATAGCAGCTGGAAAGTTCATCGAACATGGTGAATTTGAAAAAAATTTGTATGGAACCAGCATAGATTCAGTACGGCAAGTGATCAACTCTGGCAAAATATGTCTCTTAAGTCTTCGTACACAGGTAAATAAAGTTCTCATACATTTTTTTCCCCCACTGATCCTCTATGTTTTTTAATGGACAAAAGAGCTTAGTCTCTACTATTTCAGTTATAAACATTTGATTTAAGAAAAGTATAAATTACTAAATGCCTTCAGAATTCCTTTATATTACTTGGGCTAACATATTTATCAAAGCACGTTGTCTTAATTAATGATGTTTTTAGATAGAAAAGGGCATGTTCCTGTAATCCCTGTTTTGGTAGAGTGCTTCAGTTTAGGAACACATGGTCATGCAATGGCAAAGGCAGGATCAAAACCAGTCTCTCCTAATTCAAACAGTCTGTTTTCTTTTGGGTGTACTTTTCCAGAACTTCTTTTGTGTGTGTGTGTGGAGTTTCTCTTTCTATTCTGCTTGCGTTTAGACCCTGGCACATGGTAACCTTACTGCTTATTTCTCCTTCCTCCAAAATGGATTTTGAATATGGTTATTTATAATCTTTATGTGATCTTATTAGAGGATATTTTAGCATCACAGTTGTAGACCTTCAATGTCATTCATTTTTATTTCATTATATAAACAGGGTAAGCTAATTTTGTGTGTGTTTGTGTGTTCCAGGTACACAATATATTCTTACAGTGAATGGTAGGATCTGGAAATACTGTGAATTGTTTGTTACAAAGATGTTTGGAAACACTCATAGGCGATGTTTGTTTTTTTTTAATGACATTATTATTCCAAGTATATTATTGGGAAGTAGTTAAATAATGAAAATTATTGTAAATATCCAAAATATCTTTTGTTTAAATAGTCCTTGAAGACTCTCCGGAATTCAGACTTGAAACCATATATTATCTTCATTGCACCCCCTTCACAAGAAAGACTTCGGGCATTATTGGCCAAGGAGGGCAAGAATCCAAAGGTAAAGTTATTATAGTGTTGTACTGTTCCATTGAAAATAAACATGAAACAGTCATGACGTAACATGTCACAGTGCTTAAAAGCTGTATCAGCTTGAGCTTTCAAACTGATTATTCTTTCGGCCCTATCACTTTTCCCAAAATTGCTGTTGTTGCCTCTGGCTGGACTGTGGCAGCTCTCCAAAGCAGGGGCCTTCTCTTGTTGTTCCGCACACATTCCCCATAGCTACCCCAAGTGTGCGGTTTACCTTTGGTATTCCTTGAAACATCCTTAATCTTCTTCACATGGGTCTGTGTTATTTCCAGTAGGGATTACCGTAACCCCCTGCCCTCTACTCCCAAGAAGAAAGTTCTCTGCACGTTCTTAGGAATTACCCACTTTTTTCTGCAGATACTCTGCATGTGTGGGGAGCCAAATCTTGCTTTTCTCTGATTGAAATTTATGTTCTGTTTGTCTTCTCCCTTTGGTCTTCTCACATGATCTGAAACGGTAAATTTTTTAAAAATTATTTTAGATGCAGGACATGGTTGAGGGTAGTTCACATTTTACTAAACATTATTAATAATAAAATTATATTAATGTGTTAATCCGAAAGCATTGACTTTATTTAAATGTGAAATGAAAACTGTCAAGTGACTTACTATATTGAAGTAACAAATACTTTTCCTTGTTTTTTGCTGATTTCTTAAATATTTTTGTTTTACAGAGGAATCATTCAGTTCTCATTTCATCTGCTCTCTCTAAATCTCCTTAAAAGCCATAAGCACACATCATAACACACTTCTTTATAAGATCCTTAAAAGTCAGTAAAAGCGTATCACTCCTTTCCCATGATTCTTGGCTGTACACCATAGCCACCAAGATAGATCTTTTTCCATTCTCAATCTACTTAGTATTTCTTATTCAGTCTATATGTGAAGGTTGTATTTTTCAATGTCTTAGGCAATAGACAGTCAAGGATTTTCCCATCCTACATGATGAGCATAATTCTGGTTGCTTTGTTTAGGCTAAATAGGTCGGCTGGCTAAAGTAGTGTTCACAACACCCTTTCCGTGTTTGCAACACAATCGTAAGTTCATAAATTAGTGGAGTCAGAGTATCTGCTGTTCTTAGCACTTGGGATGATACCAAAAAAAAAAAAGAGAGAGAGAGACATGGTCACTGGCTGTTCTTGAGGGGGATCACAATAAAGAAAACAAAACTATGAAACTAAGTGCCCAGTAACTACTTTGGTAGACCACAAATACCATGGTTGTTTAAGGAAAAGGATGGACTAGAGTGGACTTCTTCCTATTTGTTCAGCCTAATTTTTCTGTTTTCTAATATGCACACTTACTTTGTTACGTTTTTCTTCTCCAAGGATTCAGTATCATGCGAGGGCTATATACCATTCCAAAACAGGTTAGGCAACTTTCTTTGGGTTGGTAGTCTCAGATAGTGTTCTCATGGGATTATTTATCCTATTATTTATTTTGAATTAGCTATCCCCAATTGAGTAAGGTCTAGAAAGATACCAATTATACATATTTTTAAAGGAAGAACTTAATCAGTACCAAAATGTTTTAACACTTTACAGTATGCTTGATTTTCTAATGAGAATTCTCTAATTTTTGAAAATTAACTTCATGAAATTATTTTATATACAATAAAATGCATGCATTTTATTCAGTGAGTTTTGGCAAAATGTATACCTGTGTCACTGCCATGCCAGTTGAGATTTAGAACATTTTCATCACTCTAGAAAATTCTCTCGTGCTTCTTTGAAGTTAATACCCCTCCATTCTTCCCTAGGCAACCACTAATTTGCTTTCTGTCACCACAGATTTATTTTGTCTGTTCTAGAAGTTCATATAATGGAACCATAGAGTTTAAGTTTGCATCTGGCTTTTGATCAGCATAACGTTTTTGAGATTCATCAACGTTGCGTCTAACAGTAGTAGTTCATACCTTCGTATTGCTGAGTGGTATACCGTGAGCTAAGTATATCATAAATACATTCATCAGTTAAAAATTATTTGGGTTTCCAATTTTGAGCTGGTGATTAAAGCAGCTCTAAACATTCATAGTCTTTTGGTGGACATCTATGTTTTCGTTTCTCTTGAATTGCTGGATCAAAGGGTAAGTGTATATTTTAACTATATAAAGCTGCCAAACTGTTTTAAATCCGTTTGATTCCATTTGTTCCCAGTTTGGTTCCATTTGTTCCACATCCTTACCAGATTTTGCTTTTGTTGGTTTGTTAAGAATTTTTGCCATTCTAGTAAGTGTGAAGTGTTATCATTAAGGTTTTCATTTGCATTTGCCTGATGACTAATGTTAGTATCTTTTCATGTAGTTATTTAGGCATATTCTTTTGTGAAATGTCTTTTTTTTTAATTGGGTTGTTTTCTTACAGAATTGTAAAAATTCTTACATATATTCTGGATATAAATATTTTCTCAAAATCTTTATCTTTTTTAATGATAATGTTTTGTGTTTTGAAGATCAGAAGTGTTTTAGAGAAGCACACTTTTTTATTTTTCTTACGGTTAATGATTTTTGTGTACTGTCTAAAAAAACTTGCCTGCCCCAAGATTATAAAGATTTTATCCCATGTTTTCTTGTAAAACCTTTCTTGTGTTAGCTTTTACTTTTAGGTCTATAATCTCTCAAACTAATCTTTTCCAGTGTGAAGTAAGGGTGGTGGTTGGTTTGGTGTTTTTGTTTTTTTAACACATATGGAGGATATTCCATTGCTCTAGCATCATTTCTTGAAAAAGACTATCCTTTTTCCCACTGAATTACATTGATACCTTTTTTTAAAAATGACCTGGCCAAATATGTAGCAGGAAGCAGAGTGGGGATTATTTCTGGACTCTATTCTGTATTTATGCTAATATCACAGTCTTGATTACTGCAGCTTTATTATAAGTCTCAAAAAACAGTTGTTTGAAATACTTATACATGGTACAACATGGATGAACCTTGCAAACACTGTAAGTGAAAGAAACCAGTCACAAAATACCATATATTGTATCATTCCGTTTTATGGGATGTCCAGAACAGGCAAAACTACAGGGACCTAAAGTAGGTTGCCTAGGGCTGGGGTTGGGAGAGAATGGGGAGTGGCTTCCTATAGATATGGGGGTGTTGGCTGGGGAGAGGGAGATGAAAACACTCTAAAATTGTGGTGTTGATTGCACAGCTCTGTGACTATAGTAAAAACAGTTGAAATCATTCACTTTAAAATAGGTGAATTGTAAATGAATTCTATCTCAAGAAAGCCATTACCAAAAAAGAAAAATCCCAGCAGGTGTTTCTATAGAAAGTTAAAAGATGGTTTTTAAAATTTATATGGAAATTAAAAGGAATAACTAAAACACTCTAGAAAACGAATTAAGTCAGTGGCTCCTGGGTGACTCAGTTAAGTGTCCAACTCTTGGTTTGGCTCAGGTCATGATCTCAGGTCATGGAGTGGAGCCCCATGTCAGGCTCCACACTCGGCAGGAGTCTGCTTGAGATTCTCTTTCTCCCTCTGCCCCTCCCCCCCACCCGCCCCACTCTCACATGTGCTCTCTCCCTCTCTCAAATAAATTTTTAAAATTTTTTAAGATTTTATTTATTCATTTGACACACAGAGAAGGAGAGAGCTAAGCACAAGCAGGGGGAGTGGCAGGCAGGGGAGAAGCAGGCTCCCTGCTGAGCAAGGAGCCCACTGTGGGGCTCAATCCCAGGACCTTGGGATCATGACCCGAGCTGAAGGCAGCCGCTTCCGCTTAACCGACTGAGCCATCCAAGGGCCCTCAAATAAATAAGTCTTAAAAAAAAAAGTTGGAGGCCTTTTGTCTTTGTTAATTTTATTATTTGTCTTTCTATTTAATTGACTTATACTTTGGCTTTAATTTGCACTTGCTCTAGTTTCTGAAGAAAACTTAGATCTTTAAGTCTTTTTTTTTTTAAGATTTTATTTATTTGACAGCACAAGCAGAGGGGCAGCAGGGAGAGGGA